TGAAAGTTTAATGCAATATATCTGTTTTGAGCTTTTAAGTCTTCCCTTACTAGAAGTACTGTGCAGTGATTATACTTTGATATATACCGTGATACTGAATGATTATGCATATACATCATGCATTGTACGTCAAAGAATACTTTTTCTGTAAGAATCGTGTTCCCCTCTACTGTACATTTTATACAAAAGTAAAACCACATTTTAATGTAAAAAGCTTTCAGAAAATTTTTGTTTGCATAATTAAAATACAAACTAATGACAAACTTACCCTTGTTTTACTGTAATAACAATAAGTGATTGATATGTGAACAATTTTATTACCATGATAATTTTTTAATAATGTGCTGTATGAGGGATAATATGATCATTAGTTTCGGTGTAGTCAAATTCACAAGCAAATGTGTGGAAAATGTATTTGTTGTTTGCCTTGTGCAACAGTCAGTTACATGCATCAGCAGTCATTATGCAAAAATATCTGACCGCAGAGTGCTTCCGCTGACCAATCAGAATCAAGTATTCCAGCCGTGGTACAAGAACTGATATTTCTTGTACGACGGCTAGATTTCTCTTATTTAATAAGAGAAAAGTAATTCTGGTCGCTAGTCTTTGAGTCCGAACACACCATGACAGTTTGATGCAGATGTTTGAGTTTCAGGACTCATTGTAATGCAGAGAGCTGGTCGCATCCTGCTGTTGAATGCTATCACCACCATCACAACACGCATGGGCCATCAGAGAGATCAAAGCTCACTTAGGAAGCAGAGAGCAGCTCCTCCCCTTTGTCCTCTTTGACTACAGCTATTGTGTAATGAAACCAATTTTTCTGGAATAAGCTTGATCTGATAACAGTGTTTATGCCAAAGTACACTTGTGTGGTGAGGATAAACGCAATGATTGTTTGAAGATTTGGATCATTCTTGCCTTTTTTTTAGATTCTTGATGGTAGCTTTATTTTTACAAGTGACTCACTAGAGCGTTTGTTTTTATTTTAAACATAGTGTGTGCAAGCATTGCTTTCTCTCTTACCTTTCAGCAAATTAATTGATTTGCAAATCAAAAAAAGTGTCATCTAATTATTCCTGGTCCACCCTGATAGGATTTATGTGTCCCCTGCACTTTTTAAGATATTTTTCTACACCACTGCAGATAAGGTTTGCTAGTTGAGGAGTTCTCTGTGAGATGTAGTGATGAACTGTGAGAAATCGGTCTGACCGCTGGAGAAGTGATGTTTGGACTGCAGTGTGTTTACTATACAGTGTCTGTGGTCACGAGTGACTGGGTAGAAGAACCGCAGTCCCAGTCAGGCGGTTGGAGCTCTTTCCTGGAAGGAGAAGGAAAACAGTGATGTCAGTGTCTGTGAGGAGAGGTGGTCTGGCGTAAAATATCTCTCAGGGGAGATAGAGAGTCCTACACCGGTGAGGATGAGGAAACGGCATTATATGACTGAAATGTATCCATGATCAGGAAGTTTAAGCCTAGTTAAAGTGGTTAAAGCAACTTTTGCTTAAAAATGTATTTGTTTATATATATTCTCGGTTTCTTGTCATTTGCTTATTAGTCAAAGCTTGGTTCACTTTGCAGCTTATTCTGATCAAGAACTTTCCAATTATTCAGGAAGAGTTTTTTTTTGCTTTGCCAGCTTGTAAAGTGAGCACTGTTTCTTTTGTTTTTGTGCTTTTTAGGGTCGGATTTATCTAAAATGGTTAATAGCACAATAATAAACCTGTGTGTGAAAAACTTTACTGTAAAGTTCTATATGTTAACATTAATGCAATAGCTAACATACTTTATTAGAAATAATCAGTAACCTATAAGTCTTGATTTTGTTTTGGGGGTGTACTAGAACATGCTCTCATGCTTGGTGCACGCATTATTTTTCACATAATTTACATTATTAAAATGCCTTTCTCCCCAGGCTGGCACAAACGGCTCGATTAGTTCCGGCTTTGATGAAGGTCCACCTTCCGAAAAACTAAATGTGTTGTGATTGGTTAGCTGTCCCAGTGCGTTGTGATTGGCGAACAGCTTAGACAGTGTTTCATTACTGCCCTGCCCCTTGCTCCGTCTTTCAACAAAAACTTTTGGGCGAATCCGGCAGGCACTTTACTCCCTCGTGTTGTGGAAGCTGTCCTCAGTAAAATGCGCAGCACACAATAGCAAATTGGGGTTATAATGCTCAGGAACAGAGTTAAAAAATAAATTGCAACCACTGTTTCCTGACATCATCCGCTTTTCACATGGAGGTGAAAAAAAAACTGCGTTTCAGGCAGTTACACACCGGACGAGAAGCGCAGAGTCGCGTCGCGCCACGTCTTTAAAATTCAAATACATTATTTTCTATGAGTGTAGGCACACTGGCGGTGTCTGTCCGCGGCACCCAGCTACGTTTCGTTTTCTCTGATGCATTAACTCTGCAGCAGCACTTCTTCTTCATCGTCTCGTCTCATGCGCTCACTCAACCAAGCGTTCTAACCACAACCTCGCCCCTCCCCACCCCCCAACCATTAGAATATCCGTAGGCGGGAATTATTTGTAATGATATTCCAATGAGTCGCTTTGTGATATCACAAAGCCCGGAAAACAAACGCTGTAGTCCAAATGAGCTGTTCGTTGTAGTTCTTGAAAAGGGATTTTTTAAAAACAAAATATCTCCCTTTGGAGTGGACTTTGAGATTTGTAACTTTCTAGATCTTTTTTATGCCCAAACATACACACTACACACTGACTAAAATTAAAAAAAGTGAAAAAGCATAATAGGACCCCTTTAAATGCTCTTAAATTAACAGTTTAACTGTTAACAGAGATTAACAGTTAACATATTGTGATTGAACACAAATTAGCAATAAACAATAGTTCATGAACAATTGTTAGATGTAAGTTCATGATACCTTATGCTTAAATATTTATGGTATATATTTTTTATATAGGTTTTAGTTATTTTGTTGTGTTTTTGTCATTTTTATTATTGTTTTTTTTTTATGTTTGCATAGTTTTTTTTATTAGTTTTTGTTTCAGTTTTAGCTTATTTTTTGTATTTTATTTAATTTAATTTAAAGTTTATTTTAAGTAATGAAAATAGTTTTAATTAACTATAATAACCCTGTTACCAATTCAGTTAATTTCACAACAGTGTTGACTTAAAATGTCCAAGAAATAAGGGGCATGCGTGAAGACTGGTTTCTCTTCATCTGGAGAACAATTAGGCTAGTATTTTACTGCTTTTGGATATACAGAAATTCAGATTATTAGGCATAATGTAATGTTCATGGATATCTCATTTAATTCATACTACGTCCCTTAAAACTGAGTACATTTCAAAGATTTAATGCAACTAACCTAGCAAACCTTGACAAATCGATTTGATTAGTTCTTCCTTGTAGCATGACTTTTCAGGTGGATTAAGCCAGTTTCAGTCAGCTGTATGCAGTCTGTGAACTGTCAGGTTATTCACTAGTCTGTCTTTAGACTCTTGTTTTGCATTTAAATCTGATATTTCTCAGGTGACCTCATACTAAAGGATATTCTTAATTGTACATATTTTTGTGATAGGATTGCCTTTGAACCGAAACTCTGTCCTGTTAATCTCGTGTTACTTGTACACCTGGGTTTTTTGAGCAGGTTTGACAACCTCCTGGACATTGTTCAAGTAATGTCACCAGGCTAGACTGTAAATGGGACACCTATGCATATCTATAGGCCATGTCTCCACTAGAAGAAGCATAACCTCTCATGTTTATCTACGATCAGATTCCTGCATCGAACAGATCTTAGGTTAGTGTTTCATCTTTATCAGTCTGACCACCCTGAGTGTCTTATTATTGCTTTCCACCTTCACGTGGACACTAGTTAACTTTGTGCACTTCTCACATATGTTTTGTCTTAATCAGCTTACCTTTGTTCTTCACCAGCCAGGAAGGTGCATTACCAGTATGTTTCTGTCCTCGCTTTGCATGCCTGATAAGCCCGATTTGAATCCTAAGAGCCAGGGATCCATGCTGAGCTACTTACCCAGGTGCCAAGGCCTGCTGGCTGGGTGTGTTGCCTCCTCTGGGTGTCTCTTCCAGGGTCTGTACTGGAGAGTCTAGCACCAGATGTTCTGTGCTATTTTTGGGAGAGGTCTGAGTAGTACAGAATGTGGGTCGGTCCAGAGAGCAAGTGTTACATCAGTAGTTAAGGATGATAGCGTTTGGATACCCAACTGATAAGGGTTTTTCAAATGTCATTGCTGATATTTGTGATTAATATAATGCTGATAAATATAATACAAAATAAAGACAGCTAATGAGATTTATAGAACAATTGCTTAAATTAAGTAAATGCTTATTCTACAGAATATGAACTTGATATTTACTGAAACAATTATCTAGGGATGAACAGTATATTGCCACTATATTGGTATTAGGAGGCTTTCACACTAGCACTTTTGGTGCGCACCCGGGTTCGTTTGACGTCAGAGTTCGGTTAGTTTGGATAATGTGAATGCTGTTTTCTGAACTCGGGTGCACACCAGCGAACCATACTTGAGTCTGCCTAAAAGAGGTTGTCTGGGGTATGGTTCATGCGAACTCTGGTACGGTTCGCTTCTGATATGAATGCAATCGAACTAAATTATGTAAGTGAACCGCTGTTAATGACATGAATTGGTCAAACTGTGTTTTTTTGTGTTTATTTAGTGACATTTTAATCATTGATATATCAGTTGATATAGGATATTTAATTGGGCGTGGGATACTTAATTGTTTGCATATTTTTACATTTTGATTAGATTAGAATACATTCTGATTACATTTTAGTGTTACTTGCCATCACCCAGCACTCAATTTAAGTTAATCTTTAAAAACACTAATATTTTTAAAACATTGTTAAATGTAATATTCAGCAAATCTCACTTATAGAATTAAAAACTGCTGATCTAATTATTAGTGTGTTTTAATTAACTTTTTAAGCACATAGTAGAGAATTTGAATAACGGCCATTTATTATTTGCATTTTATTTGCAGGTGATGTGTCTCCCATCAGTATGTCTCCCATCAGCCAATCCCAGTTCATCCCACTGGGAGAAATCCTGTGCCTGGCCATTTCTGCCATGAACTCCGCCCGTAAGACTGTCACACAAGAGACTCTCATCGAGCACCTAGCAACATGCTTCCCAGGTAATGTCTTTCAATGATTATGCAGAAAATCAGTGAAGTAAATGCACTTAAATACCTTCAAAATAATGTCACAATACAAAAAAAATCATGTGATGATGATGTCACAGTTTCATTTCAGTTTGGACTTTTTTCATTTGCACCATTCCCCTGTCCGCATTTGTCACTATGGTTACTGGTTTGATTTGCTATTACATTCAGCTGTGTCACCTCATTAGCCTGTGTATTTAAGTTCCTGTGTTTTCTGTTCTTATTGTCCGGTCTCATCTATGTTACTTCAGTGTTGCGTCTATACTACCCTGTGTCTTGGATTACCCCGTGTGTTGGATTAAAGACTTTTGGAACCTTTATCTTCTTCCTCGTGCGTTTGTATTCAGCTACTTGCTGACAGAAGACCGGACCACTACAAATGGACTACGCGGCTAAATTCACTGCCGTGGCTCAAACAAGCCACAATTTACTGGACTATTTTGAAGGGTTTTGTCATCTCGCTGTCAACACACCATTTGACGACGAGACCCTGAAATCACTGCTCTGGATCAGGGCGAATTACAATCACCCCTTAGAGCTCCCAGACACTACAGGACTGCCATTAGGTGTCTGAAGAGCCTCTTTACCTGATCCAGAGTATTGCCAGTCCCAGAGCCCAGCCTGCCATCACCTAGGTTCACGGAGCATCTGCCTGAGCCCACTGCAGATGGAGAGCCAGTGCCCACCACGACTGAAGAGCCAGCGCAAGAAGTAGTGACTGAGCCTGCGCTGATTGACGTATCTAACCAGGTGTGTGGGCTGGCAACACTGCACATGCCGGAGGGAGTATTAGTGGAGTACAAGGAGATGGAAAGAAGCCCCGACAACACTCCCGCCACTGAGGGTGAGCTACAACTGGCCTCTGGAAGCATTTTGGATAATGTTGAAGTGGATAATTTCATGTATTGCCCTGCATCATGTGTCTTCCCGCTAGTTCCATCCGGCCCTGACCCTCCTGACTCTCCTGAGCCTCCTGTGTTCCCTCCCAGCCTCCCACTCCAGCCTCCTCTCTATATATTTGGCAGTTCTGCTGCCCTGTCTCCGCTGGTTCCTGTAAGCCCCTCAGCTCACCCTCAGTCAGTACCATCCTGGAGCCTTGTCTCGCCTCGGGGCTTCCAGTCTCCAGCTCTGCCTTGGCGTGAGAATCCCGTGTCTCTGCCTCCGAGTCCTGGACTCCACCTTGGCACTTTGACCCATCGGCTCCGCCTTGGCTCCTAGCTCCCTCGTCTCCACCATGGCCCATCATCCCACTGGCTCCACCGGGCTCCCTCATCCCTCTGGCTCCACCTTGGTCAGTCATCGCCTTCCTTTGCTACGGGATTCCACTCCTCCAGCTTTGCCTCATACCTCCATCCCTCTGGATCTGGCTCTGTAACCACAGTGTCACCATTCCCCTGTCCGCATTTGTCACTGTGGTTACTGATTTGATTTGCTATTACATTCAGCTGTGTCACCTCATTAGCCTGAGTATTTAAGTTCCTGTGTTTTCAGTTCTTGTCCGTTCTCGTCTATGTTTCTTCAGTGTTGCGTCTTTACTACCCTGTGTCTTTGATTACCTGTGTGTTGGATTAAAGACTTTTGGAACCTTTATCTTCTTCCTCCTGCGTTTATTCAGCTACTTGCTGACAGATGAATGAAATATGCAGGGTTTTTTTCTTTTCTATTTGCTCAAAGCATCTAAGTTTTACATGCTGATTTATAATGGTTCACTGATTTTAGTTTCTTCAGTTTTTTCCCAGTAACACCAATTGTAACCATTTACACAGCCATTTGCACATGATAATAGGCATATCCTGGAACATCTGGGTAAAGTCTCTATTTAGAGCTTTATAAACCATGATGTGGTCACAGCAGTGATACGGAAAGTTTAACATCCATTGTTATATGCTATTTTGCAGAAACAAAGCACAAGAGAATGGTGTTTTGCTGAAATTATTGGTTGGAGTATGAGGGAAAGTGTGTTTTAGTATTTTCTCAGAGGATGTGGTTGTAACAATGTTAACAGTACACACATGCATATTGAATTAATAGACTTAAAGTGTGATGCAAACACACAAGTATAAAATATTTTTTTTAATTGAAATTCTGATTTTAGGTGTTTATTTGAATATATTAATGTATCATTAATTGAAGTATAAACTGTGCAAATGCACACTATGGCTCGTTGATCTAGCTAAAGTTCCTGGTTTCGGACTAGATATGTATTTGCTCTACAATGGATTCAAACAATTTTGAATTTATTCACCCGAATTGAATCAAACTATTGGCATTTTTGCTGCTGATGTTTAAATCAGAGGACTAGTCAAGACATTTAAATCAGAGGTGAAACAGGCAAGAAACAAGGAAAGATTGTAAAGTTAGTCTTCAGTAAATTTGATGGCTGAAGAAATCATTGCAAGATTCAAGATTATTGGTTAATTTGACATGCCCAGAAAAATCATGGCAAATATATTGTGGTTTATTCAAAATATTGCCTATCCCAAATTGTATTGGCACAGCCCTAATTATTTCATTGCATGTCAGTCATGTTTTTTGTGCCAAACAGATTTGTCAGATTCAGCATCTCGGTAGTGTGATGTTGAATATATCATGTGAGGGTGAGCTAAAGAGATGCAGCAGATGCTGAGTCATAATGAGCTCTGTGTCTCTTATGTTGTGAGGCAATGAGGTTGCTATAGAATCAGTAGTGAATGCTGAGGTTGCTATAGAATCATGACTTCATCCTTTTAACCCTGTACACAAAGCTGTACGTTTGCACACCTGGACGGTAACCTCTCCACTTGGACCATAATACCAGCATCAAGAAGGCAGGTCAGAATCTGTGTGTGTGAATATGGTATCTGAGTTGGTTTGGTTTGATTCGGTTTGTAAGGTTACTTTGAACTACTGTAAGTCACTTTAGATAAAAGCATTTGCCAAAATAACACATGTACATGTATTTATGCATTCCAGAGTGTTTATAAAAGTCATATGGGGATTGTTTTTTTCTGTTAGACAGATAAAAGTCTGTTGGAGAGAATCTCATATTGGGCACATTGACTGTAAAAATAAAGGATACAGACATCATTGAAATGTAATGTTATTCCACAGAGCACATTTTCATATAACTCATGTTGCAGTTCATCTCACTGCAAGTATTGTATTATAGAAACCCCCCACCTCCCACCTTGGCTCAGGTGCAAATCCAAATTATTATTTTTTTTTTGGAAATAGCTGCTAAGGATGTTGCATGGTTCCTGTAAAAATAAGTCTATATTTTGGTGAGGCACACAGCATCACATTATTATTGCTCGGTTCCTCCAGTTGAGGTCAAAGTATGTTTGTTTGGAGAAAAAACACCCTTTTTCTGACATTTAAAAGTAAAACATTGAGATTGAAACTTCTGCAACACAGGTTTCCAGTCAGTATTCTTCTGACGTTTTTTCTGTGTGACCTGAAAAGAAAAAAAAATAGTTGTTTAGTTGCGATAAAGTTGTTATCCATTTTTGTAGGAGCGCTTCATTATAGAAATGAAAAATGGTCAGTGGTTAGTTAATAGCGATTCTAGAATTAGACTAGTGTCCTAGGGTAGACTCTGCCACATTGATTGGATGCTGCTAGTGATTAATTATTATTTCTATAAAACTCTCTGAACTGTTTCCCAGTATTGGGTTAGGAAGAATGGATATTTGTCTGTGTTGATGCACCTTTTACTTTTTGTACCAGTGTAATACAAAAATGTCTGCTGGTTAGAGCGGTTGTGCTCATTGGAGACCCAGGTTCAAGTCCAGCCAGGGTCATGTTCCCATCCCATTTAATACTTCCATTTGTCTTTTCATGTTTTTGAAAACTATTTTATTAATGCTAATAAAAAAGAAGGAATAGGTGAGTCCAACCTTGCAAACACATTCAATAGTCATCTGAATGTAACACATCAGTCAAGAAGATCTTGTTGAAGAACTTCTTAACTCAACAGCTGTAGATCTTTATAACCAAAGTGAATTTCTGCAGTAAGTGAAAGTCTGTTGTTCTCGATTGGATTAGACAGTCGTTTAAATATGTGTGTGTGTGTTGGTGAGTGAGAGAGTGTTTGTAAGGTTGAATTAGGATTGCACCTCATTGACAGGGAAACTAAGCAGCAACTATGATGTAAGTACAGGCAACCCTTCTCCACCTCAGCATCTACATATAGTAGTGCTCTGGACTACAAATGTAAATGACAAAGCCGAACCGATACAGCAATCAAACAACTTTTTAACTCCATATTTTGACACGTTGAAGCTTCTGTACTGTTTGAAAAGAGTTCGGTATTGGACAAAAATTCTCACAGACTTTGTGTTTCCCTTTAGAACTGTGACATCACAAATGCACTCATTAAGCTATCATCACAAATATCTCTAGTTGGACTACAGAGGTTTATAGCGCAGACGGAGACATATACTGTAGACTCTCCCCCGAAACGTTGATTTTTTTAATGAGGTGTTGCCTGATGCATTTTAGCTGCAGTTGGGGGGAGGGGGGTGTATTGCGTCACACTAGGCTGGCTTTAAGAACTCCATGATGTAACGGGGAGTAATGCCAGCAGAGGAGCAAAGCTGTGAAACCAGCCAACCAGGCAGGGAGGGCAGCCACCACTGTGCCATGTCTATATGCTGTAGTAAGCACACCCATACATATAGTATGAAACAGGACAGAATGTGAATGTGGGAATTTAATGAAAGTCTATTTATTTTATGCTCTCAGCTTATATGCCGATATAAACACTCTGATGTGTCATGGATGACATGAAAGGCAACCAATGAATAATGCACATTAAACATTGTTATAAATGGAAACATTGTAAGTGCTTGTTTTAAAAAGTTACAACATGTAGTTTTTAAATCCCATTTTAACATTGGTCATCATGTACAAATGCAGCATATTAAGATTGTGGTATCAGCATAATATGGACATTGTTGATGTCAATATATTTGTTTTGACGCATTGGGCCTGATTGTCTTCTGTCTCTTTTTCTATCCGGTAGGCGTCCCCACTCCAAGTATGGAGATCCTGCGGCACACGCTCAACATGCTGGTCCGAGAGCGGAAGATTTACCCCACCCCAGAGGGTTATTTCATTGTTACCCAGCAGACATACTTCATCACACCTTCCCTCATTAGGACTAACAGCAAGTGGTACCACCTAGACGAGAGGATACCAGAACGCATGCCGCAGCAGCCGTGTACCTCTCCTCACTCAAGTACCATGACACCCTCCACTTCCGGATGTGTCCGGGAAAGACCTCACCACAAGAACCACAGTGACTCCTACAACAAAAGCTACCGGGAGGACATCCCTAGTATGCATACCTCAACCTTACAGAAAAGGTCTAAGGAGCATAAAGAGTCTTCTCCTGTGTCTCCGCCCCCTCAGCAGCCATCAGAGAAGAATAAGAGTATGCTTAGTTTTCCATTTAAAACTGAGACAAACAATAAACACAAAGATGGAAGCAGCAGCAGTGGGGAGAAGCAGTCTAAGAAGTTCGGCCTGAAGCTGTTCAGGTTGAGCTTCAAGAAGGACAAGACGAAACATCTAGCCACATTTTCAGCCCAGTTCCCACCTGAGGAGTGGCCACTGCGGGATGAGGAGACACCCAGTACTGTTCCTAGAGAGGTGGAGATGGAGATCATCCGTCGGATCAACCCAGATCTCACGGTGGAGAACCTGGCTCGCCACACAGCCGTAATGAAGCGTCTGGAGGAGGAGAAGGCACAGCGGAACAAAGCAAACTCCTCTGCTCAGCAGAGTGCCAAACTGAGACAAACAATAAACACAAAGATGGAAGCAGCAGCAGTGGGGAGAAGCAGTCTAAGAAGTTCGGCCTGAAGCTGTTCAGGTTGAGCTTCAAGAAGGACAAGACGAAACATCTAGCCACATTTTCAGCCCAGTTCCCACCTGAGGAGTGGCCACTGCGGGATGAGGAGACACCCAGTACTGTTCCTAGAGAGGTGGAGATGGAGATCATCCGTCGGATCAACCCAGATCTCACGGTGGAGAACCTGGCTCGCCACACAGCCGTAATGAAGCGTCTGGAGGAGGAGAAGGCACAGCGGAACAAAGCAAACTCCTCTGCTCAGCAGAGTGCCCGCAGCAAGAGGAGCCGCAGTCATCGAAAGACCCAGCAGGGCAAGGCCTCACGTTCCCATAGCAAAACACGTGCATCCAGGGGGGATCCGTCTGAAGGATCCAATCTGGACATATCCTATGATCGTGATTACAGATTCTACAGCTCCTCATTGGTACGTTCTCCACGCGATACCATGATGTCTATGGAGCGAAATAGGGGGAAGTATATGGTTCACAGCAACCCCAATATTGTGGAGTCTCACTTTACCACCACTCCAGAGTGGGATGTTTCTGGTGAACTGGCAAAGCGGCGGACAGAAATGCCATTCCCAGAGCCTTCTAGGGCACAGTCACATTCCAAAGTCCACCGAAGTCATAGTCATACGCAAGAGAGAAAGTCACGAAATGAGAGGTCGGACAAGGCCAAAGAAAGGTCACGGTCCATGGACAACTCCAAGGGACCACTTGGTGGTCCATACTTAGGTGGCCCAGAGAACTTTGAGTGCAGTCCTGATGACAGGAGTCGGTACTACACTGATGATGGTACTTTGAGGGCATCTGCGCAGGCGACCCACTATTCCCGTATCATGCTCTCTGCTGCTAGATTACACTCTGACGTTTGTGTGCCTGATGTTGGAAGAGGATCCTCAGAGGATGCTGTGCTTTACCGGACGCTGGAGAAGAGTAAAAGCAGAGATAGTCTTCCTGCTTACAACGACCTTAAGTCTTGCTCTCCCAAAACACCAGTAGACGACTATTTCCAGTGCACTGCAGCAAATGAAGTCTCTCTCTCTGCCCCACCTTCTCTTACAAAACCCAGCCATGACTTTACGGATAGTGTCTGGAAGGGGATCTCCTCTGACCGACTGACCCCTCATCTTACACCCCCTCACCCTATAGAATATAAAGAGGAGACAGCAAAGGGACAAAGTAGTATTTCTATAGCGTCAACGAGCCAAACCCCCGAGCATCTCCCCAATGGACGATTGTTGCACCAACACAATCCCGACTCAGGTGACTTGGACAAAATGGCAGAGGTTTACAGCCAAGAGACTTTGTTCAAACCTCCAGACTATGTGGAGAGCAGCTTCTCAAGGCCAGGTACGATAGGTAAGTCCTCTCACACCAAGTCAACAGAGGTCCCGGAGACTCAGGAGCATTTTGATAAATCTCTACCCCTGACCGTGCCACCATCCTCGGCTCAGGAGCAGGCTTCATGCGCAGAAACCACCTTCGACTATTACAACGTGTCGGATGATGACTCTGAGGAGACTAGTCATAAGAACCGCATAGAGGAGAAAGTTCTAGAAGAAGGAGGGACAATGCAATGGCTGTTGGAACGGGAAAAAGAGCGTGATTTGCAGCGGAAGTTTGAGAAGAACCTTACCTTTCTAAGTCCCAAGGAAGGTGAGAGCAACAACAGCCAAAAATCAGTCCATTCTACCCGATTGGACAGTATGGACTCCAGTAGTGTGACTGTGGACAGTGGATTTAATTCCCCACGGTAAGGCACTCAGGGCCACTTTAAGGGTTTGTTTCATTTGTTGTGTTGGCAATAGGGTTGTGTCTGAAATGATGGGTATGCTATTCTATGAATAGACATACATTATTATCCTTGTTTTTAACTTGTTTTTAAGTGTTAACTCACAGGAACATTTAGGGGTTTATGCTTTTATAGACATGACAGAATTCTGTAGAGCCTTAGTTTAATCCCAGTTCATGCAAACCATACATTTTCTTATTTTAAGCAGTAGTAACCACCTCTGCGAATGACATTAAAAGGATAGTTCACCCAAAAATACCCCCAGGGCATCCAAGATGTAGGTGACTTTGTTTCTTCAGTAGAACACAAACGAAGATTAAGTCAAACTGTTGCAGTCTGTCAGTCTTAAAAAGCAAGTGGATGGGAATCACGGCTTTGAGAGTAAAAAAACATACACAAATTAAACCCTGCGGCTCGTGACGATACATTGATGTGTAAATACACTAAACGATCGGTCTGTGCAAGAAACTGAACAGTATTTCTATTGTTTTTTACCTCTGATTTTCACCGCAATGTCCAAACTGTCCAGAGCGCGCATCCTGAGCGCATTCAACAGCCGGCGCCGTCGTCGTCGTCTTCTTGCTTTACAGCGGATCGCAGACTTATAAGCAGTTATAAGTGGCATTACCGCCACCTCTCTCTCAAATGGACCACTGACACACTCTATCTACAATCTCAATTAGGAGTGTCTGTTTGAGATATAGGTGGCGGTAATGCACTTATAAGTCTGCAATTCGATTTTTGGGTGGACTATCCCTTTAAGGTCAGAAACATACTCTATGCAAGTAAAAAAAACCTATGCTTGTCCAACGTGTTGTAGGCACACACTGTCCTGTTGTACATACTTAACATTTATTCTTGCATTACTGTGGCAGTAATAAACCTCAGTAGTCTGATAGTGATAGTTAACTTAAAATGTCTGTGCCATTAAACCTGATGGGTTATATTTCAGATAACTAGCTATAAACACATCAACAGTTTAACTAACTTTAATTTGCTTAGCAACATTGTTAAAATGGTTGTTCTGTTATGACAGTAGTTGACTTGAAATATTACTGACCACTATAGTGGCCCTTGCAGAAGCGATGAGAATGCATTTTACACATTGAATTACAAAAAAATGTGTTCTGACACATTTTGCAATGCTGCAGTTTGCTTAGAGTATGTTTGAGGCTTAATACTACTGTACTATGGATCATGTTTTCACTAAAATGGGAGAGGCCCTAACATGTGAGAGGTACCGAATACACCTTAATGTAGGTCAACCACTACCAGTTCTATAACTGCAGGCTTTGAAAGGGTTTACACCATTGTTTTTTTTCTTTATCTGAATTTTTGTTTAAATAATATCATGTATTGGGTACTCCTTTTGTCAGTTTTGTCTAAATGAACGTCATGTTTGTATTTTAAGTGCTGCATTGTTGCATTGTGTGTTCTCATCCAAAATCCATGGGTTAATTGACATTGTTCTTAAAATTATCACAATATAAAATAAATAAGCACATGTCTGTCACTTTATCTATTGATATGTATGAGGCCTTACTTAAAGAATGACTTGCTTTGAGAACATGATGCAACTTGTGCAACTTTACATCCTACCGTTATCCTTGTAATCCCCTTCAACTTGCACTCAGACCCTTTGATCTCGTCTTCCAAATGTCTGAAACCTCTCATACTGCAAACTTCCAGCAGATGTTTTCATGCTCAGACATTGCAGTGCAATAATAGTGACTCAGAAAACACTTTAAAGTTGGATGCAAAGTCTGTTTTGCAGGCAAAAATTCAACAATAAAAAAGGCGCAGTGTCATCCAGAGTGATATAAAGAAGTTTGTGACATCTAATTGAGGAAATAAACCGGACTTCTTGAACTGCTGAAATTAATGAAGTGGATTTTTTTTTTACTATGTTAAGGAAATGTGATTGGATGAAGAAAAGCAAGCACTGTGCTGATACTCAGGTCACCCTGCAAGGCAGAGCGGGTTAGGAACGCTTCACTATGGTGACGGCGACCCCGCTCAGTGCCAAAAGCCTGATGAGACATTTCAAACATTTGAGGAACAAAATGTGCCCCCGTGATTTTTTTTTTCTTTTGTGTTTTTTGTTTGTTTGTTTTCCCAAATTAAAGTATGTTGTTTTTCATACAGTGGTTCAGCTGCAGTTTTTACCCTGTGCGTGTGTGTGTTAGTTTTGTGCAGTTCCTTCTTGTGTTTTCATTCTCCCTTCTTGCACTTGCACTTTCTCCTCATAGAAAATGGAAATTCAAGCTAAAATTGCCTGTTTCCTAAACAGCGGTATGTCAGACGTCTTCTAAATACTTATTTTATAATACATTATTTAAAAAAAAAAGGCACATCCAGATTTTTTTTTTTTTTTTTAAGTTTCTTGTAAGTATGTTGTTTTTCATACAGTGGTTCAGCTGCAGTTTTTACCCTGTGCGTGTGTGTGTTAGTTTTGTGCAGTTCCTTCTTGTGTTTTCATTCTCCCTTCTTGCACTTGCACTTTCTCCTCATAGAAAATGGAAATTCAAGCTAAAATTGCCTGTTTCCTAAACAGCGGTATGTCAGACGTCTTCTAAATACTTATTTTATAATACATTATTTTAAAAAAAAAGGCACATCCAGATTTTTTTTTTTTTTTTTAAGTTTCTTGGGCCAGTAACAGTTTTTTTTTGTAAGCCTGTATCAAATGTATGCTTTAAATGGTTAATAAAAGCAAATTCATTATTGCAATAATAAATAACTAAATATCCAGATATATGAAATATACAACATTTTAACATAATTAACTAGTTGGCGCCAGTAGCCTTCGAGTTCGAGTCTTGGCTGGTGGACATTTCCCGATCCCATCCCTCTCACTTCGCTTTGTCTACATACTGTCCTATCATAATAAAGGCAAAAACAACGAAAATCTTTTCAGATGATTTTCGATATGACAACTTGCATTCATACAACTCTCATGTAGTTCTTGGGCAGGTTTGGGCTTTTTGAGAGTAGCATCTATTGACACTGGGCTTTTAGAATCCACACATAAATCCATGTATCGTCACCCTAAACCTTTCTAAATGTTCTGGTCCTTCAGGTTTGTATTCTTCATATTGTCATGGTCTTAAATGTTAATTTTGCTCCTGTGCTGTCCTGTTTATTTTCTGTTGTCCTTTATTTACTTTTCTTTTAGTACCAGCTTTGGGCAATATTCTGAAATTTAAGTTGGAATTAATTTAAAGTGAACAGGCCACATGCCACAGGATGTTGAATTGGAATGACACGAAGAGGAATTAAACACTGATACTCAGCAAGTATTCCTTTCGTCCAATACAATATTTGTGATAAAACATAAATAATTACACGATTAATTTGGACAAATCTAGTCCCTGTAAATTTATCATTAGTATTATATTTTTATAATATATTTATTTTTTTGCATAGCCCAATGTTTTGAACTGTAGTGGTATACATATACAGTGGGGCAAAAAAGTATTTAGTCAGCCACCAATTGTGCAAGTTCTCCCACTTAAAAAGATGAGAGAGGCCTGTAATTTTCATCATAGGTATACCTCAACTATGAGAGACAAAATGAGAAAAAAAAATCCAGAAAATCACATTGTAGGATTTTTAAAGAATTTATTTGCAAATTATGGAGGACACATTGGCACCAAAAGCCCCCCGCCGCCCTACCAGCCCCCCAGCTTCCGCACCATCCGTGAGCCGCCCGCCAACCGCACGGAGAAACAGGCCTCCATCACCAGCGTGTAGTCATGGGGACCGCCGTTAAACCCAACTTCACCAGGACTGTTACATTCTTACAGAGCTCGTGTGAGGCCTGTTCCTGCGGTTTTCAAAAATAGATGTTTCAAAAACCACTTCATCATGATTTACTGGAGGTATCTTTTACTTTTTTTGATATTTGTAACAAATACTGCTGCAGACAAACAAATCACTTCATTAGGACTAAATTTACGCTGATCTGCGAACTGTTTGGGATAAAATCCTTGATCGAACTCATTTGTTGGTGTCCTTTATAGCTTAATGTATCCACTACGGGTCTTAACTGTCTTCTGATCCAAAATTGGCTGTGTTGCCTCTGCCTATTCATTCATCGCTGTGTCTAGCGTTTCATTCTGTACGCTCAGGTCCCTCTGAACTGACTTACTACGGACTTAGTGTCTCACATTTGCTGGCCAAAATTTGAAGGCCACAATAATCTCCCTGGAAATCTGAACAAGCTCATCTGTTTCTGCTGGAATCCTTTTACCGCATCCTTGTGTATCGTCCGCCGTCCTGGGATTTTTTCCGGGACATTTATGTAGAATCTTAACAAAACTTACCACCATTATGGCATTATTTGTTTATAAAAAAATACCAATTTAAATATTACTGGTGCTTTCTCATTGAATGGACCGCTATTCTTTAAAAAAAAAAAAAAAAAGTTGGAATCCATTTTTTTAATTTGTCCAGATTTTCTCTTTTAATCAGGTGCTCAACTACTAGACGACACAGAATACACACATTGCTACCTCCACTATTTGTACAGTCATAGAGGGAGACATGAGAGACGTCCACCCCCACCTTAGGCCCGCTGTATTAGACAAATCACTTTCAGCTTGCAAACTGTGAATGTACTGCTAGTGCTTTTCAATCACATCTCCATCATCGAGCGTTAATAACCTACTGTTCTCATACTAACAGAGCCGAATCTCATTGTAATAGAGAGGAGACTTGTGTGGAGTTTGGAATCATATAGGACCCATATTGAGTGGATCATTTAGATCGCCATATCTCTGATATGTCCAGCCATGTTCAATTATTTATTGTTATTCTGATTATTATTGCAATATTTTTCCCCCAGTTCTTTTACGACACAAATTCACGGTAAGCATTAGAACAGTATTTCACCGATTTTTTAAATATGGGGCAAAACATTATTTTTATTTTTTTATAAATGTGTATAAATGCTGTTTTTTCCCAACTTTTTGTTCATCAAAGAATCCTGAAAAAAAAAGTCATGGTTTCTACAAAAAAATTACACTGCATTGTTTTTAACAGTGAGCAATACCTTTTAAAATATATTTAAATAGAAAATGTTATTTTAAATAGTAATATTTCACAGTTTTTTATATTACATTACAGTTTATATATACATATGCATAATTTGCCACCTCCACCATAAAGATAGCAATACAAATGTTTTGGATTTTTACATAATTTCCCATTAGAATATTGAAGTCCTATTACTATTAGCAAGCTATTAACCTATT